AGTTTGGGGGTCTCCTGTGGGGGGGGTCAGGATGGATGGGAGGGGTGGGCATGGGGGTCTCCGGGGAGGGCTCGGGATGTCAGTGAAGGTTTGGAGGGGTTACCTGTGGGGGTTTGGGGGTCTCCCATTGTGCTTGGAATGCCAGTGGAAGTTTGGGATGTCCCGTGGGGGAGGTTGGGGATCTCCTGAGGGGCTCAAGATGTCTGGGGGGGGGGTCCCTGTCCCGGGGGCTCGGGGGGGGCTGGCCCGGGTTGGGGGGCTCTGGCGGGGGCCGGGCCGGGTCGGGGGGTCTCCCCGGGGGCTGTGCCGCTGCCGTGTGTCCCTGTGTGACCCCCCCACCGTGGATCCCAGCCATGGATCCGGGCGCGGGGCCGCGCAAGGAGCGGCCGAAGGCGCGGGAGGCGCCGGCGCGGCTGGAAAAGGCCAAGCAGAGATCGGCACAGCAGGAGCTCAAACAGCGCCAGAGGGCCGAGGTGCGACCGGGAACGGCACCGGGAATGCCAGAGGGACCGGGAATTGGGGATTGGGACTGGGGAATGGGGGAGGTGGGACCAGGAATTGGGGGCCAGGACTGGGAGTGGGGGGCAGGAAAAGCAGCCCAACCCGGGCCAGGCCCCCTTTTTCCATCCCTCCTTTCCATCCCTCCCTTTCCCAATCCCAGATCTACGCCCTGAACCGGGTGATGACGGAGCTGGAGCAGCAGCAGTTTGACTCCTTCTGCAAACAGATGCAGGGAGGGGGGGAGTGACCCCCGGGACCCCCCGGGCCCCCCGACCCTTTTTGTACCCCCGTATTTATTGTCCCATCTCCGTTTTGTACCAATAAAACTTGGCTGTTCCGCCGCACCGGGATCCGGGGGATGGGGGAGGCCTTATCCCAGCATTCCAGCTCCCTGACCCCATCCTGACATTCCCAGCCAAGGGAAAGGTCCTGCCATAGTCCCATCCTGACATTCCAATTCCCTGCCCAGGGAAGGGTCCTGTTCAGACTCCATCCCATCATTCCTGCCCTGGCTCCACCCTGGCATTCCCAACCCAGAGAAGGGTCTTGTTTTGGCTCCATCCCAGCATTCCTTGCCTTGGCCCCACCCTGACATTCCTGCCCTGGCTCTATCCCAGTGTTATTCCCTGCCCAGGGAAAGGTCCTGCCCGAGCCTCATCCCGACATTCCAGTTGTAATTCTCTGCCTAGAGAGGGTTCTGCCCCAACCCCATCCCCAGATTCCTGCCCCACTTCCATCCTGACATTCCCTGCCCTGGAAAAGGTCCTTCCCCAACCCCATCCCTGCATTCCCTGTTCTGGCCCCATCCCAACATTCCTGCCACAGTCCCATCCCAACATTTTAATTCCCTCCCCAGGAAAAGTTCCTGTCCTGGCCCCATCCCGACATTCCCTGCCAGGGAAGGGTCTTGTTCTGACTCCATCCTGTCATTCCTGTCCCGGCCTCATGCCCACAT